GGCGTTATAAAATGGGACGGAGTGAGTACTATGAGATGTAATCATAATATATAGTGTTAGATTATTACAATACAAATTCGTGTTTTAGGAAAAAAACAGAGTGCTTACATTGATATTCTTTTTTGTTGGGGTTGAAATAATTGTATTGTCATTTTATTATTTTATTATGAACTATAGGCATGAATAAATTTGTTACAAAGTATTAAATGACAAAAGAATGTCATTGTTTGTATTTATATATTGTTAATCTTTGACCTATTTTAATGTTTTAGATAAAATTTACCCCGGAGTATTACTTACTTTTTTAGTATTTGGATTTGAAAAAAAAATCCGGGGCACAATGAATTGCTCTGTGTTTTGAGTTAAAATATAGGGTATTTACTTAAAATATTAAATAGCTCTCAAATAGCATCACATGTGTTTTTTTTATGTAACATTTTTAGTTATTATACATTGGTCATTAATCAAATAAATACTTGTCATTATTAGATATTATAGACATTATTAAACACTATTTATAGAATAAAACAGTTTATGTACTATTTAGAAAAATGATTTAAGTTTTAGTTTATATAGTGCAAACATTTTTAAAAATATTCAATTCCAATGAGCAGTTCTTTGCTTTTGGTTAATCATCCCACAATCATTTACAAATCTTTTTCACATTTTTTTCTTTTATTTTAGTAATCCTTAATCACTAATGATCTCCAAAAGTTATGAATGAATTGGATATAGGTTTTCATTTCTGCCAGGACCATTTTGTCGGCGCCGCTCCTAATTAGCGGCGGGAAGAACAGCCAGAAGGTGGTGCCCACCACGAACCCGACCGTCAACGGCCCCGAAACCGCCCGCGGCAGCCGGCGAGTGTCTCCCCAAGCCTTCTCCGTCGCGTACTCCGCCGCGACGCAGACTCCGTGGAGCAAGAAGAACGCCGTCATCTCCCACGACGGGCGGGCGCGCGCGACGTAGAAGACCAGCAGCTCGTGCATGAGGCCGGAGAGCGCGAACGTCGCCATCATCGCCGGCAGTGGGGCCCACGCGCCGCCGATGACGGCGGCGGAGAATTCCCGGACGGGATCGTAGACGGAGAAGCGGAAGGTGTTGGTCACGGTGAGGTTCCAGCGCCTCCCCCAGAATTCCCGGAGGGAGCAGGAGAGGTAAGGCTCGTCCGACGGCGGGTCCAGATCTAGACCGGTCAAGACCCGGATCGCGAATCCCGAAACTCCGACCAGCACATCCACCATGAGGAAAACCAGGAGAGAATACCAGATCAAGACCACGTTCTGGTGGGCCCCATCCCCGTACCGGAAAATCAGCTGCAACAACCCGGCGAAGCCCGCAATTTCCGCCGCCAAGTTTAACCGCAAGATCTGTTATGAACGGCGTTAGCAAAATTACTCCCTCTTTCCTTCCAAATTAAATTGAAATAAATTCTCCATATTAAAATAAGCAACAAAAAAAAGTAAAAAACTTATTTTTGAAACTCCGTTCTAAAAGAATACCTTTGATCTATTGACATTTTTCTTCTTCAACCTGAGAGGAAGAGAAGCCATGGCAACGAAGGTGAGGAGAGACCTGTGAGCGGGGGAGGAGGAGGAGAGTGGGCCCCGGTCGAAGGAGAAGGCGAGGAGCTTGAAGTTGGAGAGCCAGGTGAAGAAGAAGAAGGCAACCGCCGTGCAGAAGGCGGAGGAGTGGAGGAGCGGGAAGACGGCAAAGAGGCCGAAAACAGGGGTTAGAGATATGAACCTGAAAGTGCCCTTTGGGAGCTTCGCAGGCACGAAATAGCAGTACACGAGAGAGGCCAAAACCAGAAACCAGACGTGGGTTAGTGTGATCTTCTCCATCACTTTTTCTTAAGGTTTTTCAGTGGTTATAATGGCGTTTGATTAATTCTCTAGTTGGAAATGTTAACTTTTGGTCCTTTTTAGAAGGAAAGCTAGGGAGAGAGCTTTTCATAGAAAAATGTGGCCTTTATTTAATGCTCCTCCGGTACAAAAAATTTAATGGCGTGACTTCACCGAATTTTGCTACAAAAGGGCAAAGTGATCAAAGGAGTTAATATCACACCATCTAAGTCATAAAAATCTTCTGATAGAGCAAAAAAGATGTGGGTTCAACAAGGGCTGTGTTTAGAATACAGCTTTTCAAATAGTTTTTGACATCTTTGATTGACTTTGACTTATTTGACTTATCAAACTGCCAAAATCATTGTTTGGCTAATGATTTTTTCACTTGGCTATTTGATCCGAAATGCCAAAATCCGAAAAGTCAAGGGGAGTAGCATTTCAACTTGGCTTTTAAGAAAAATTATTTTTTTAATCATTTTTCTTGAAAGATATTTTATAATATATGTAAAAAATAAAAATAAAAGTCAAAAACTTCAAAAATTTTTAAAAAAAATTAAAATTTTTAAATTAAAAAAAAAAGATATGAGAAAATCAAAAGTAAAAATCATTAAAAAGTTAAATATTAATAATTTCTTATGAATTATATGAAAATGAATTTTATATATATATATATATATATATATATATATATATAGATTTTGGTTCAGGTGAGAATGCAATCTAATGAAAGAAATAAGAATGAATCTGGTGCATTAGATTGAGAGATCTAAGGGTTAGGATTGCATCAAAATTAGGTGCACCAAGATGGTTTGAAAATGCATCATGTCGAAATGCACCATAATCCTTTGAAAATGCACTATCTCAAAATTTGAGTACAGAATGCAATCTGAGGCGCACGATGCATCCGATCCAAAGGCTAGATTTTATTCTTATTTCTTTCACCAAGATGCATTCTCACTTGAACCAGCCCATATATATATATATATATATATATATATATATATATATATATATATATATATATATATATATATATAATTCTTGTATGTATCAAGATATACTTTTATTTTTTCATGAAAAATGATACCTTTTTATATTAATGAGGATTAATGAACATTGGTTTAAGGGTAAAATTTTGAATGATTATTAATTGAGTAATGTTAGAGTCACAAACGAACTGTTTACAAAATTCACAAACTTAATTTTTTAGGACATTTCTAGAAATAAGATGCACTCAAATAATAATAGATATTTGAATTTAAATTTCACAAAAGACAAGTTTGTGAAGTTTGTGAACTACTCCGTATATGTTTGTGACTCGCATTTTTCTTACTCCCTCCGTCCCACTCTCTTTGTTCACTTATCTTTTGGCACACCATCCAATGCATTTCTTTAATCCATTTTATCTTGAGAAATGCTAGAGTTACAAATACTTTGGTCACAAAATACACAAACTTACCATTTGTGTATTTAAATGTTTAATTTTTAATTATTTAACATCATTTTATTCATCTAATGAGCTGCAGAAATAGCAAGGTTGTGTATTTTGTGATCAAATTGTTTGTAACTCTAGTATTTCTCTTTTATCTTGTAATTTGTATATTAAAAAATTATAAAAATTATATATTAATAATCTATATGTTAAGACAAATCAAACAAGATCACACATGACTATATTTAGGCTTACACATTAAGAGAATTTAATGAGTCAAAGTGCTTAGATGAACAGTTCTAAAAGTCAAAAATGGACAAAGAGAGTGGGACGGAGGTAGTATTAATTTGGAGACGAGGGGTTGTTGGCTTGAGTACTTTTTGGAGGAGTGAATTCGCCTCCTTGTTCAAAGAGCAAAGCAGTGAATTCAAATTGGCCAAAGCCTCGTAGTGAATTCGCCTTGCTCAATTCCCAGGCGTAATTACCACTCTTTCTCGCTGTCAAGAGATCTATAGTCTGATTTTCTCCTCCGGGTTACAGGTTTTCTTCAAACCCATTCTTATTTTATTGCATGTAAAAAGGCCATTATTGATTCTGCTATGACTTGGGTTCTTGAATCTGATCTTCAGTCCACCGGAAATGAATGCAAGCTCAAATTGTGTCCGAATTCGATCTATTTTTGCACAGTCTCACACTCTCGTCCGAATCTCCCTTTTGAGATGACTTATCTTCTTTAAAAGAGATTTAATTTCGAAATTTGAATGAAAATGCGATTTGGTTACTTAGAATTGGTGTTTATGTGTGTACCTCATATGCTCTCGTCGAGTCCACCAATTTTAGGGTTATGTCTTACTCGTAATAGTGAATTCATTTCTTCTTTCTTTTGCATTCGCCAGAGCTATTGGAATTCTTATGGTGAGACGTGTTGCCCCGCATCCCTCAGTTGATGGTGATCAAATCCGCCAACTCCCGGTGGAGATACTTGACCATATTATGGGACTCTTGCCTATTCAAGAAGCTGCTAAAACTGCAGTTTTGTCTAAGCTTTGGGGGGATGTTTGGTCCAGTCTGACGCAATTGTGCTTTGATTATAACTTCTTTCGGTATTTTCAAATAAAACATCGGAAGGAGGGCAAATACTTCAAGTTATCTTCATGTTTGTATGCAATCAACAAAGTTCTCTTGCAGCACAAGGGACCCATCAAGAAATTTGTCTTTCTTTTCCCTGGTGGTTGTCCACTAATTGTTAGGTCTCGCTCATATGACATGAATCAGTGGTTGCTTTTAGTCACACAACAAGGTGTTGAAGAAATCCGTCTTTGTTTTGGCAGTAGAGAGTACAAGCTGCCTGAATGCATATTTTCGTCCTCAACACTCAAGAGATTGCACCTATCTGGTTTATGCATTGCACCCCAAATTTCTCCATGCACTTCACCGAATCTTACCTCACTTTGTTTTAAAGAAGCGAAATTCCTTCCTAGAAATACCACAAATTACTCCATTGATGTTCCTAAGCTGGAGAATCTGTCGTTTTATTGCTGTGAGAATATCTCTCACTTCAACATTATTGCAAGAAATCTTCGCAGTTTGAGAATAGCACGTCATTCTACTGGAAAAGGGGACAATTTTCTCCCGGTGAACATTGACTTGAGATCTATTCACACTCTTGACTTGGAGGGTTCCTCTCACGAGGTATTTAGCTTGATGTTTGCTTTTGTACTTTGTTATGTATTTATAATAGTGTATACTTGTATTATTCTATGCATTTTAAGTCATCCAACTTCATTGCCATATATATGATTTTCCAGGATATTCTTGGCGACCATACCTCAAATGGACTTCCACCACAATTGCCTGCCCTAAATGTGAAATCACTGAAGCTATCAGGGGACTACTTCCTAACTGATGCTGCATTTGTTTGTTTGCTCAGAAAATGCCCAAAGTTATGCAAACTTAAAATACATTTTCAGGTAAATGTTCTTTCATTTTTATGGCCGAAATATTGGGTAATATTATGGTTACGTCTATGCTCTTCTGCCTTCCTTCAATGAATTATGCTTGAAATGTTGAATTGTTGGTTTTTTCTTTTGATCTTGTTTTGCTTTAATGTAGCGGGAATGGGATATGAGCAGGTGTATAGATGCCACATCAGGGCATTTTGAAAAGCTCCGTTGTGTGGCTCAAACACACAAAATGCTTTGGTCTTTAAAGTTTTGGGCATTCAATGGATCAAAGCCCCAAATGCATTTCATCAAGGAGATGCTTGCAAATCTTCCGGCACTTGAAAAGGTTGTCATTATTTATTCGCTCTATATGTTTGATCGGAACAAGAAACATGACATCTTGGAAGAAATTTCTCATTTTCCGTGTGCATCCCCCAAAGCAAAAATTGCTTATCAATCTCTCTTTTCAAGTTGAATCTATCTACCTGCATAAATCACTTTCGTTGTTGTGATTAGTGATATGCCAAACTGTAGGAAATTAGTTTTTTTTTTATTATTTAAGTATGTGAATTTTGAATGAATGGCTTTATCATGGCATGCCAAATGGATTGGTTCCGAACCAAATGCAATAGATATCTTTTGGTTATTTGTTTTGTTGAGTTTAATGTTATCGACACATTAATTTAGAAAAAAAATGAATCTAGATGTGAAGTAGTATGTGAGGAACTTAGGTTGCGTTCTGTTCACCTGATCTAATTTGATTTTTTGAAGATTTGGTATGATGAGATTGTACTTATATTTAAAATTGAATGTATCTCCAAGCATATACTTGGTATCACTTTTGTTGTGGTTAGTGATATGCCAAATAGTAAGGGAATTAGTTTTTTATTTAAGTATGTGAATTTTGTATGAATGGCTTTATGACATGCCAAATGCATGGGTTTGGATCCAAATTAAATAGATATGTTTTGGTTATTATGAGTCATTTCATTTTTTGTTTTTAAGGACTTAAAAAAAAGGAATCTAGATGTGAAGTAGTATGTCAGGATTCTCAGGAACTTAAACCTGCCACTCTTGGGGAATTTAATGTGTGGGGTTAACTTTTTGGGAGGACTTCTACACTGTGGGCTCAAGCACACAAGGCAACTCACACTTGAACTTGGGATTGGTTCGGATTGGGACCGGACCGGGACCGAATAGGGTGTATTTCATTGACCGAGGACAAGAGAGTAATGGAAGGACGGGATCTGACCGAACAAAGACTAAATTTTTACTCCGTATTTTTTATAAAAATTTTAAATTTAATTTAAACCTTTCAATTCTACAGATGTATTACTTTAAACAAAATGTACTCCATATTTTCTGTGTCTCACAAAAATATTTATTTTTTACTTTATCAGAATAAGGAGCCGTAAAAGGGACTTGGTATAAATTAAGTTAGATGAGAGCTTTCTATCTATTTAAGCTAGAGGAAAAAGCTTTTTAAACGGGTGATAAATTAAAGAGAAAAAGTTTTTAAGAATAGAGGGATTATTATTTTAAATTGGACTTCTTTAAATAAAATTATGATAAAAAAATAAAAACATATAAGTAACATTAAAGAAACTTTTAATTTTTAAGTTTTTTAACACTAGTAACTCTGATAGAAGTTAGAACATACATAGTACCATCTGTTCGTACCTGAAAAAGAAATTGTAAAACCTAAGCGGTTCACGAACGAGACTATACCTAAACCAAATAATAAAAAATTACATGCTTCTCATAACATTGGGAATAAGGCATTTTCTATGGTAGACCTAAGGTCTATCATAAACCTACATATGAGTAAAATAATAATCTTTTTACTACTTAGATAAGCATTTATATTTTAAAAAATATTATTAATATGAGAAGGTCCACAAAAATGGGATGCACCTAAGGTGTACTATAGAAGCACTCTGGGAATAAATGTCATGGGTCATGAGATGACCCGAGAACACCATACGGTGCTCTTTTGAAAAATTAATAATACCTACACCCAGAAATCTCCACCCCATCTCGACCCGAATCCACCCTGTACTCCTCTCAATTACACCCCACAAGATTTAGTTGACTTTCAGGCCAAAATTTAACCCCAAAGTCAACTACATTTTGTGGGATGCAATTGACGAGATGCAGGGTGGGGGAGTTTATCGGAAGGTTAGGAGAAGTAAGAATCATACAATTTGATTTTGTGTTTAGTTTTACCGTACGTGTAATTCCCAACAAATCACGCTATCCTGGTGGATTCAAGATAAGTACTTCCACCACTCTGCTCATTCCACTCTTACCTTTTCTCCATTTCATTTCACACACTTCATCGTTCATCATTTTAATCAAGGGCTTTCGATATCAAACGATGTATCAAAAACTCTCGCTTCAAATATGGCTTGGATTATTCTGAGATGTTCAATCCGGTTGTTAATCAGCAGACAATTCGAGTAGTTCTCTCATTAGCCGTTAATCATAACTTGCCTCTACATCAGCTGGATGTGTCAAATGCCATTCTCCATGGTGTTGTTTCTGAGAATCTATATGCAGCAGCCTCCTAGGTATATCAACCAGTAATTTCCACATTATGTGTGTCAACTAAATAAACCTCTGTATGGACTTAAGCAGGCACCCAGGGCATGGTGTGAACGCCTCTCCGGCTTCCTTCTTGATTATGGGTTTACCAAGAATATTCATGGCACCTGCTTCTTTGTTATGCACTCTCTTCATGGTCTCCTTATCTTACTCTTATATGTTGATGATATTCTTGTTACTCGAGTGCTTCTTCCCTCATCACCTCGTTCATCCAAGCCATGCAACAAAAGTTTAAGCTCAAAGACCTTGGTCCCCTCTACTATTTTTTTGGGTTTTGAGGTCACACGTACTAAGGATCTCTTAATCCTCTCTCAAGAAAGATATGCTCAGGAGTTACTACACAAAGCTGGAGTTGAAGATTGTAAATTGTCCCCCACACCAATGCCTATATGATTGACAGATTGACTGAGGATGGGGTGGAGGCTCCATTTGCAAATCCGACTTTCTTTTGAGGTCTTGTTGGCTCTCTTTAACATTTGACAAACACCAGACCGGATATCTAGTTTCCCGTCAACCATGGTTGTCAGCGCATGCATGCACCTAGTGAGTAGGATTTCGAGTCCTGGAAGAGGATCTTACGCTATGTTAAAGCCACACTTGACTGGGGATTGGGTTTTTGACGTGGACCACCGGCGGTACATGCATACTTTGACTGGGCAAATGATATGACAGATGGTCGCTCCATAAGTGGTCATCTGGTCTTTTTCGGCTAAAATCTTATCTCATAGAGCACAGAAAAATAAATTTGTGTGTCTCGTTCCTCCGCGGAGGTAGAATATTGTGCTCTCTTGTCTGCAATAGCTGAAGTAAAGTGACTCTATTACTTGTTTGATATTTTGAAGATCAAGTTTCCTTCTCCACATCTTTTCTGTGATAGCCAGTCTGCCATTTACCTGACCAAAAATCCAGTTTTTCATAAGCGTATGAAGCACATTAGAAATAATTTTCATTTTGTACGGAAAGAAGTACTCCCTCTGTCCCAAATTATTTGTCACATTTCTGTTACCGAGGAAAAATATTAAGTTTTTTCAATTCATTTTATTTACATACTGGTAAAGAAATAAAAAATAAAAATTACATATAAAAAAACTACATGAAAAATTCTTCGAAATAATTAAGAGGTGTCAAGAATATTTTATTTTATCAAATAATCAATGAAAACGTAGAGATAAACAAAAGTTCCCGTGACTGTTGAAAAAGCAAATGTGGCAAATAATTTGGGACGGAGGAAGTAATAGCTAAGCAGATGAGTTTTTCGTATGTTCCCTCCGCAAATAAACTTGCCGAGCTCTTAACTAAGGCACTATCATCTCCTCGATACACCACTCTTGTTTCCAATCTTCCACTCATTTCATGGCATTCAACTTGATTGGGGGGGGGGGTGTTAGACAATTCTAGTAGCATTTGTATTTATGATAGTGTTCTTATATTAATCAGCTACTATATTAGAGGAATTATAATTATGTCAAGATCTCCATCTCTATATATTGCCTTGTATCCTCTTAATTTATTAAGAAAATACAATATTCTTATATTCAACCATAGATATTAATACTTGGGAGTAGTTAGCTTATTTCCATCATCTCCGATTGAGCCAAAATTTCACCTGTTTTTGGCTTTGGGGTGTGATGGAACAAATCAAAATGGATATCTAAACTATTTGCGCTTCTTTAATTAATGAAGTAGCAGTTAGTCAAGCAATCTAACTTTCGACGTTGAGCCGAGGGTCTCTTTGGAAACATCCTCTCTACTTTCGAGTAGGGGCAAGGTCTGCGTACACACACCCTCCCCAGACCCTACTCTTGTGGGATTTAACTGGGTTGTTGTTGTTGTTGTTGGAGTAGTTAGCTTATTCCACACTATCTCATAACCCTGAAAATCTAAAATGCTCTGCAATCTCCCATTAGCCACCAAATTAGATTAATAGAAGTAAAATATAGAGAAAATATCAAAATAGAAGTTCTATGTTTTTATTTATTAAATAGAAGTTCGCATTTTAGTAATGTGTCACAATACACATATATTTAACTATACTTTTGGTAATCTACATGGTCATGATTGATGATGTAAATACATTTTTATTTTTATTTTGACAATAAAAATATGAAATTTCTATTTTGGTATATTTCTATTGTTTTACTCATAATTTAAAATTTTTCCTTTAGGTTTAAGCAAAGGGGCTTAGATGTTAGAACCCTCCAATAATGACTTGCCCTGAAAGTATTGACAAATTATACGAAAGACTAATTACTTACGTGGTACTTTTTTTGGTACATAATGATAAACTTGTAATTAAAATACTATTTTAAAATGAATACTAAGTTATTTCAGATTGAATCTATATTAAGCATTTATAAGAATAAACATTACGACTAAATATGGACATTTTATTGATTCAAAGTGAATATTCTATTCATTTAAATGAATATTTGCTAGACCTGGCAAAACTGAACCGGACCCGATGACCCGAACCGAATAACCCGGAATCGAACCCGAATTGACTCGAAAACTGAAGAACCGAAATAGAACCGAACACCCGAAATGATTCAAATTGAACCGAACCCAAACCGAATGTATTCAGACCCGAATCCGATTAAACCCGAATAGATTAAACCCGAACCGATTAAACCCGAACCCGGTTAAACCTGGAACCGATTAGACCCGAAATCGATTAGATCCGTAATTGATCAAATTCATTAATATTTCATTTATAAAATGAATTTGGAGAAAACGAATTACCTATATATTTTTACATATGTTGATGTGTTTCTAAAAAAATATATTTAAATTATGGGTGCAAACCATGTAACTACTTTAATGTACAAATTTTTTACTTTGCATTTTATAACTTAAGTTAAAATATTTTTATGTTTTTATAGAAAAGTATATAAAAATTATAGTTAACTAAATTGACTAAATTTATTATGTGATACTATTCATTTATTAGTATGTGTTTACATTATACTTGAACTAATATAAATTTAAATCGATATAAACTCAAATCTCTATGAATCCAAATCAATACAACCTAAAATTGATACAAATTTGAACCGATATAACCCGAATCGATACAAATCCGAACCGATATAAACCCGAATCGATATAAACCTGAACCAATATAAACCCGAACCGATACAAACCGAACTGATATAAACCCGAACTGAAACCGAAAATCAATCAAACTGAAATAAACCCGAAACCGAACTGACCCGAACCAAACCAACTCAAACCGATTATAGCATATATTCGAAAGAGACCCGAACTGAAAAGACCCGAATCGGAACCGAACCGATTGACCCTTGAGGCCTGAGTGTACTTAACTCTAATACGACCGAGTGTATGGTACTGAGTACATCTCTTTCAAAAAAGCTGTTGAACACTTCAACTCTATATTTTACGGATTATTTTTTAAAATGAAATATTTTTTTCATCCCAAAGATTACCACATTTTTTAGTGAAACTATTCAATATATTGATTATAAATTAAATATATGTTTAAATTATTAAATATTATAAAAATTTGATATAATCCGTATTAAAATTATATTAAAAAAATGGTTCTAACATTTCTAAACTTTTGTTAAATTAAATATATATTTTTCAATGCAAGTGTTACATAATTTTACAAAAAATTCAAATCTGTGTTAATTTTTTTGGTGACTAATGGAACTATGGAAGAAGCTTTGTTTAACGCTAATTCTCATCGAAACATCTGGAAACTGGAGTAACACAATCCCTCTCTACGGAGCAGAACTGCAGAAGATCAATCGTCTCCTCCGATCGCCTTCCCGGTGGAGGTACAGGTTTTCTTCCATCCCATGCTCGAATTTTTTCTTCTGATTTTCAGAGTTTCCACTCCCTTTCGAATCATTTGACAATCCTTAAAGGAGATTTGGTTTGAACAAAGATAAGCTTTGGTTGCTCGGGTCGGTTCTTAGGTTCCTAGTTCACTTGATCTCGCAAAGTCCCCCAATTTTAGGGTTATGTCTTAGTTTTAGATTTTAATCCATTTCTTATTTCAATTGCACATGCCAGAGCCATCAGAATTCAGTATTGCTATGGCGAAACCTGCGGTGAGGCGTCACGCACCTGCAAGGGATCGGATCAGCCAACTCCCGATAGAGATACTCGACCATATTATGGGCCTCTTGCCTGTTCAACAAGCTGCTAAAACTGCAGTTCTGTCCAAGGTTTGGAGAGATGTGTGGTTCAGTCTCACGCGTTTGTGCTTTGATCATGACTTCTTTAGTTACTTCAATAAAAAATATCGGCGGGCTAGC